TAGTCAGGACGCATTTTTTCTTCGCCCACTTGTGTACAATTTTGTTCTTGAAAGACCTATTATCTCAGTCTTTCATCTAAAACCACTATAGGTGGGAATCCAATTTATTCAAGGCATCTTGGTCATATACAGACATACATCCAAAGATGGATTGAAGATGAAACTCTTTAGCCCTTGCCTCAGCAAAAGCTAGAAAGCTTTGATTGTGTTGCCATGGAATACAAATTTTACACTGGATTTCAAACTCAGGTCCAGATAAATGATTCCAGAGATTTCAGTATGTCTAGCCCTCCACAGTAAGGGAAAGTAATTCTGACAATTTAACCTCATCCTCCAGGACCTATTAAGAAATTGCCCACCTAAAGAGTTTTTACCTTTTCCATGTTATAAAAAAGAGGGGGAAAAGGCAGATCTGTCGAATTAGACCTATCAAAGACTGATCATCAAGACAACCTTAAGACAACTTGGCTAAAATAAGCTGGCACATAGAAAAAAATCATCTCCGAAAAAACACAAATGACTTCTAATTAATAAAATGTGACAGTAGGCTTCAATTCTACAGTTGCAGCAACTGCTTTACTATTTGGAAAATCTAAACAATAAAGTTTGAAATGGAAATTTTAAGATATCTTCGAAAGGAAGAGAAAAAAGTAGGCTCAACAAAAACTAATAGGAATATAAATAAGGTCTTGTGAGGATAAAGAAAGGAAGATGAAGTACGCTAACAGATGCACTGAAATTTAACATGTGAAGCCTGGAAAATGCCCTTTCATACACATGTTTACTGTGCACATGAAAGAAGGGGAATGCAAATATATAAAGATTGCTTATTTTAAATAAACATTAGAAATTAGAAATAGTTGTGTAAATAAAAAGCATTACAATGTATGATGCATGCTCCAATGGTATCAAACAGTTTTCACTTCTAAGTTTATGTTTCGCAAATTACATGAAAAAGCAGAACGAAAAACTGACTAAGCAATGTAGTCTCTCTTCTTTAATCTGATGTGCAAAATATAACAAAACGTTTCATCCTAAATGACCCCCACTATAAATACGATAATGGTGCCCTACTATTTAGTGCTTACCATAATCAGGTCTCATACACAGTAAAATAATGGATGATTAAGCAGACTGTGCTTTCCTTTTAATAGTTTAATTTACATATTTAGACAATCTCGCTGTAGTAAAAACTTTATAGAGGACTAATGCACACATAAATAATGCATCTTTACAAGTTTGCAACAGGTAGCAGGGAGCAGGCTTGTATGCTGGCCATAACTGAGCTGCAATTTAGCATTACATTAAGCTCTATACCTTTCGTAACACATCTCCCTAGGGGAACAACACTGCTGCACCATTAAACACATTTCTTTGGGCAGCACTCCACATGTATAATGATTTGGGAGCTGACTTTACATGGTACCACTCAATACTCATCCAAGCAATACTTTAAAACTCGGAGCATGGAGGGTGTGGCATTTAAGGTCCCTCTCTATCATGGTGGAGCACATGTAGCACAGGCACATGTGGAGAAGTGCTGGCACACGTGGCAAGGACACGTTGCCATTTCTTTTCCCTCTCGACGAACTCAAACAGTTGAGTTCCAGGAGAGCCAGCAAGGTGTCAAGTTCCACATGGTTTTCCGATGTTTACAGCAGTGTAAGCTTTGCAAAGGAAATGGGCACATCTCCAGGCAACCACTCGACAGGATATCAGGTGCTGGGCTACTTCGCACTGGGGTTTTCTGGTGCATCTTGAACTGAGGTGGAATACACTGAAGACTGAAGGCCTTCATTAACTAACACCTCTTCCCCTCAACAACAACTCTATCTACCTCCTGAAGCATTCAGAAAGACCAGAGGGTGAATAACCCTCACTGATATCCTTGGGTTTGAAAAGAAAAATTTTGCATGCATTCTGTATTGCCCTGAAAGCTGACATATGGATGTGAAGTACTTATATCTAGGGTTATTGACCCTGACTATCAAAAATTTCCAGGTAAAACCCTAAACCTGACATTATATAAAAAAAAAAAAGGCTAGACAGAAGGAAAACAAAAGCAGAACCTACTGCAAACAGATGTGTTATTTTTTCTTTTTTGGTAACTGCAGTAGGAGGCATTTCATTCTGTGAAACTACTGTGTGGAAATACATAGATACCAGAACATACAAATATCGGAGAGCATTTTCTAGCAGGCTATGTAACCTAGGTGCTCATCGCTTAGGACTACTGGACATGTGTATACACATCCAAACACGCTAACAGCACTTCCACAGTTTGAAAACAGAAACTATGATATGGAGAAGCCCCTGTGTGTATAAAGCCTCAGAATTTTCCCCAAGACACGCTAAGGGCTAGTCTAGGTAGGTGACACTATTGTTTTTGTTCTCTGTTGCCAAAGTTCTTGACTGCATAATCATCCGGAGAGTTTGCACCAAAGTAATCCAACCAGAGAAGGAGAAACATCTCATTTTATATGAGGTAATCTGTAAAACCACTTCTTCTGAAAACCTTAACTCCTGTGCCGAATGCAAGTGTCAGTGCACTCTAATGATACCGTTTTGATTCATGGGGGAAATCCTCACTGAAACATCGTATGTTCTAAAGAACATGAGACAATCTTCTTGTCAGGATCAGAGATGGTAAATTTTCCCCAAGATTATCTTAAACTCAGAACTGCAGTTGCAATGTTCTTTCAAACCTAGAATAAGAATTCAGCTCCCTTTCCTTAAAGAAGGTCATACTGACCAAGTGTGGCACCAAGACAATAGGTGACTCACGTTTATGGCCTAAGGCTGACATCAATCTCAGAAGACAGACATCTTTGGTCAAAATTACCATTGCTTCTGTTAGAAAATTGCATCAGCTGATAAAGGTGGTGAAGAATATTATTTCTTACCTATTGAAAAAGATTTCAGGGATCCTTATCACAAGTTACCTTGATTTTCCCAAGTAGTTCTTATCACTGGCAAGAAGTTTACTCTTTAGGTGAAGTACTCGCATAGAAGTTTATATTTGCTGCTGGTTTCAAAACTGTGCTTGCGTATGAACACGAGAACCTGGATGTTTCATGTCCTTAATCAAATGAGCTTCATCAACAAAAAGGATGACCTCAACTGGTTTAAGAAAATGCAGAACAGAAATGCACCTGGCTAAAACTGGGTTGTACAAAGTATCACCTATCCTCTTTAGAAAATCTTGAAAAACTATGCAATCATCAGAGTAAAAGAGATCTTTATTGGATCCAAGAATAAGATCACTACTGGAAATGGTGCCATTCATTCTCTACAGTTCTGTTACAATAACTTTCCTCCTTCACCACTGAATAGGATGGGTCCAAAGACAGCCTCTACACAAAGCATAACTCATCTCAGTCCAGAAGTATGAACATACACAACTGTCTGGAGAAATTTGTTCAGGAAAAAAGCATTTCACACACTGGGCTAGTTCCAAGTATTTGTGGCAATGACCTGGTCAGAAAGAAAGTGGCAGAGGTAACATTCTTAATGTCATATACGTGAAGAAATTGAAGAACTTCTTCCATATAAAGAGCTTGTTATTCACCATGAGGTGCTGTGGTTCTTCCGAGGAGTCACAAGCCTTAGTACCTCCTACAGAAAGAGGGATCTGACCTTCAACACCGTATTGGGGCACAATCAGCAGAAGTGAGAGTCACAGTCCGAGGCTGGTATCTGGGCTGAGCTCAAGGCAGAACATCTCACAGCAAAGAACGCTAAGAAACTGGCATCTGTATCTGTAGAGTTAACTCAATGGTCAAAGTTTCCAGTAGGACACAAAAAGAGACCAGTAACTATAAGAACAGCAGAACCAGAACCTTCACCCTGTGGTATAAATCTAAACAGAGTGCTCCCAGAAGACACTGACATGTGAAATGAGAGGGGAAAAAAATAACTTTCCCACAAAGATAGAACAATTCTTCGCTATACTGCTTTTGCCAACAAGCAGACACACTCCACAAGGGAGAAGAGTCCATAGATAGAACAAAATGTCAAATGGATTGTTCAAGACATAACCTTAGGGAGCAGTACTAGTTTATATTATTGAGTTCAGACTGAAAAAGATGATAGAAAAGCTAGTCGGTATCTGACATTTCTGTCTGCTCCAGTGAATATCAGGAAGCTAGGTCACAGTGCTGGCTGCAGACTGTAAGGGCCAGTACGATGGCCTTATAAATCCATCTACCAAGAGAGAGCACAGTGGGAACATGGTTCTCCTGGCTGCAAGGGTCTCAGGTATGAGCATATACCCAAACTGGAAACATGTGCATAGCTTATCACCTGACAACAGAAAAAAGAAACTGAGGGAGGATTATCACAGTGAAATATGGAAGACAGTATTAATGTATGTGGGTAAAAAAAACTGTGCACATTGGAAAATTTTGGTATTAACCAAATGTTTCCCAAAATAACACATCTATGGCATCAAGGCCACCAGATTTTCCTGCCATAAAGGCTTTTTTTTTTTTTTAAAGAGCATATGTACAAATCATTAGCAACATATACTGCTAGGCCATTAGAGGGAATCATTTCACTTGAGCATAACAGAGACAGGCAATTACAACCACACACAGTGGTAACAAATGTAAAATTCTAGTGTGCCAACCACTGTGATACACCAGATATTATTTCTCAGCATACAACTGAATGAGAACAATAACCAAAACCATTGTGAGGTAATTTTAAAAAGCAGTACAGCAAATCCTGCTACTGTAACAATTGGTCTACTCAGAGCAGCAGGCTGCTGGGCATAATCAGAACTATCAAAAACGGTTTTAAAGCCAAATTACTTCACCACAGCAGTTTCTTGAAACAAAGTCAAGACAATTAAAAGTACTGCTTTAAACTACAGATCACTGATACCTTTCAAACATACCAACTACCTATCAAGCAAGAAAAAGAGCAATGGCATTGAATACAGTAGATGAAAAGCAACCTATTGGCTCCTTTTTCAGGCAAGCATTGATTTTAGCCTGTACCTGGCTGATATGTACAGCAGAAACCTGGGCAGAACACACAGATGAGTGACTTGGAGAGTTCGGTAGGGATTTGCAGGGTCCAATCGAGAGTTGCTGTTTCTTCCTTGTTGCGACAATCTTCTGAGCAACTGAAAGAAACAAAACACAGGGGCAGATGAGCTACAGACTACACTGAAAAATATTTTAAGTCAAAAATACACAGAATACACAAAATACTAAACAGGGCATGGCTACTAAGCAGTTTTTCCATTGTCAAAGGCTGCTCCAAAAACTGACTGCAATACATCCAATTAAGATGACAGATGCTGGTTTGCTACAATATGCTCCACATGAGACTCCACCTCTGTTCTCCACATGGATGAAATTGCCCCTGAACTATCAATCCACCAGGTTAGCGCCACTAAACCAATAACATCGAAGCAGAAGGGGAGAAGGCAGGTGTGCAAGTTACAAAAAAGCAATACCAGGAATTCACACAAGAAGTATGCTTACTAGCACAATCTAGTTTGAGTGCATTTCAGTGTATTTGAAATAGCAATTGGAATAATAAAACAGGGAGGGTCCCTGACACACAATACCTGGATTAGTTGTGCTGCACACTGCATCCACTTTCAACTACTTACAAAAAGATGTAATTTCCAGTTTTAGCTTTTATTACTTAGCACTACTAGCACTGCTGGAAAAATGCCAGATTTATTTTGCATTTTAATGAGAAGTTTTCTACAACACCTAAAGGAAAGCAGAATTTTTCACATGGAAACGTTAATCAGATTCATTAGTATCTCCATATACAGGTTAGCACACTCGTAATAACAAATGGAAACAGAGCTGATCTGAAATGCAGCAAAATCCATACACCTCTCCTGGAACTTTTCAATTTTAAGAAGTCCAACTATTTTTGAGACTCTTGAATTCCAGCTCATTCTGCTGTTAAGGCCTAGTTAAGATCTAAAAGCTCTTTTTATGTCATCAATTTTTAAAAATGAAGTCCTTAGGCTGTATTTGTCACCCACCTTTTTAGCTCACAAATTAAAAATTAAATAAAATTTCCATCTTCAGAAACAGAGACTCGTGTGATGGTTAATTAAAAACACTAACAAAATTTAGTAGTGCACATAGCGATCTTCATCAAGTCATTTTTGACTACACAACTTTCATAAAGATTTTATAAACAACTAACTGAGGCAAAGGAGGCAAGGCATGGGCAGCACCTTTTGTTCCACGTGGACAGCGGAGACTTGGGAGCACCGAGCCATGAGATATTGAGAGGCAAAATATGACCCTGAAGGAAAATTCAACAGATTCTGAAGATACAATTCCTTTTATTCCTCCACGGTTTGACAGCCTATCCTCAAAGTCATCAATCTACAGGAAAATGGAAAGACAGTAGGCATGCACTGTGCCACTGGATGTAGCGCAGGGATGTTTTTAGGCTACAATACATGGGTTTTCCCCACGCAATCTTGAAGTAATGGATGGTGCATGCAGTTGTTTTTCTGTGCCAAAAAGGACCAGCAAGTTCTGCCTTCCTTACCACAAGGGATACTGCTCAGATCTTCCTGTACTTGGAAAGTTGCATGCTGCAATTTAGATGTTATTTTTTAAACAACTATCTACTGGCACACAGAGAAAAATTAGGATTTTCTGTGGACTATGTCTACTGAGGAGAGTTGAAGGGTTGCAAGCCACCTTCGGCAATGAGATCAACTCCTGCCATAGCATATGGCACAGGACGGGCCGGTATAACTAAGCATGGGCAGCATAATGACAAGACAGATAATGACAAGACTTTTAAATGTCAGGATGCTTTCTATAAAAGTGGGGAGGGGGGTGTCTGAAAATTACATTGCACACAGTAAACATTCAGATATTTCAAGATCAAAAAATCTTTTTCTATCTAAGAATCAGCTTTATTGAAATTCAGGACTGCTAGAGACTTTAATTTGTATGAAGTACACCAGGACTTTAATTCAAACCAAACATACAAATTCAAACCCCAACTTTCAAATTCCTTCGAGCTTACAAACTGATGTTGGATCACATTAACACTTACTGATTACTCCAAAATCAAGTCATGAGTTTCTTTTGACCATACTAAAACTCTGCAAAGGAGTCTATAGTCACTTGGACTGTCACTACCAAAACAGGTCTGTCAGAATTGCAATGACTTCGGCGTAGTTGCATAGAAACTTGCTGTGATTAAACTAATAATATTCAATCTGTATTATTCAGAGAATGTAAGAAGATAATTATGTAAATTCCATGATTGCTTTGACTCAATACATTGCAACATAAGCAGAGATATTGTTTAGCAGCATAAGCATACAATTTCTTCTCAAATATAATTTTAATAACACACTGGTCTGCGGGCTTATGTTTTTCATGTAAATGAATGATGGCATAATGATGATTTAGTGCAAATACATTGTATAAAAAATGGCTTGTATATATGAAGAAGCAGCTTCATTAGTTACATCCCACCTCCAATAGGCCCCTTATCATCCTGAAACGATGATATTAATTAATTTATTTTCCCCTGCCATATTGATCATAACCTTCATCAGCTAATCATGTTTAAATTACAGAGGAATATCGTAGCACTCTGTCATTTCAGAACCATTGGTTTATTGATCTCGAGCCTGGAAAGCCATATATAAAAATATTTTAGATCACATTAGTGAATGCAGAGAGCAAACCTAAGGTCAGATTTTAACATATGCACATAGATTTGTCATCACATGTGGTAAAGACCTAAATTAAGACCAAAACTGAATTAAAACCACACACAAATGAAAACTACCTTCTCAGCAAAAGCTTCCGCTCTCACATGGGAGAGGTAATTAGTCAAGGAAAATATTTATCTCTTGCCTTCAGTCTGAATATAGGTGTTTGCAGCATCACGGTAAGAGACACAATGCAAATCTTGCCCAATTATTGCTCTAGGAATTCAGTAGAAAACCCACCATGACGGTCTGAATTCACAAACTCAGATGGGTTACTTGAACGCTAGCTGAAGTACCACAAAAGCACACACTTTTTTATTAGCTCATTTCGGTGCCATTTGAACAGAAAAGCCGATTTTGGCTGCGAAGGAGAGTTCCTGCTTCCTAGAGGAGGAAGATGGGACGCTCAGCTGCTCCGTTCACCCTAGCTCAAACTGCAAAGCTCATAAACACACAAAGGATGCACGATGAGTTCAACAGCTGAGCCAAGATTTTTTTTTTTTTAAAGGCAAAATACAAATATGTAGATTAGCACATAGCTAGAAATGTGAAGAGCAACCCACAAAGCAGCTGGATGCTGTACTCCAAAGCTTACACAGAGCAACACAAAGGGTAAATTATCCTGTGTGCTGCAAAAATGGTAAAATTACAGCGGAAGATCTAACGTTACCTTCTTGAAATTGCGTTACAAATTCTAAAATAGACCATTCCTATCCTCAAATTTCATAGCCTTTCCCTCTGTTAGAGAGATGACATGCCCCCTAATGGAAATCCCCACCTGAGCTGCCAAACCTTCCCAATTCTTCCTCCATTTCGGCAACAAGCCTAATGTGCCCCACCAGAGCACGATTCTTCCTGCCTCTCCCCCTCCTTCATTAGGCGACCCGCTCTCCTTTGAGACACCAAACAGTTTTTGCTTCTTTCAGTGCAGTCATGTAGCTGGCACTCCATAATTAGACTGCATTCAATATTCAAGTGCTCGCGGCTACTTGCCCTTGGATATTACGGGGATAGGAGCTTCTGAAGTACCTAAAGGAGTACCCTGACCCTTCAAAGTTTGCAACATATGAAAGACGTGACTGATCATCTGTGGGGCAATCGCCGGACTGTCAAAAGACCTACTGTGCTCTTTCTAAAGCTACCTTGAGAGAAGAGATGAAACCTAAATCTTGCCTATCAGAAGTCAACAAAAGGGGTTCAGCATACATCTCCTCAGCAGTGCTGCTGCAAAATCACATTTTCTACATCTTCTATTCTAGAGAAAAAAGCCCTGAAATACACAAAACTTAAAATGGCTGGCACTAAAAACCCCACAGACCTGCTAACTCCTGCTGCTGAGATCTTCAGACACAGTAGTTAGCGAGGAAAAAAACACAGTTAAATGGTTGTGTAGCAGGAGAAATACACCATAATTACAAGAACACTGGATCCAGAGAACAGTCGAGCTATATTGCCCGTTCGGCCTCCACACCTGTTTCTGTTATTACATCTTTGTCAGGACTCAAAGTGACAACTCATTAGCCACTCGGTGCCAGGAAAAATCCTTAAACCAACACGCTTTGTTTCCACAACTGCAACTATAAATAGGTTCACACTGGGCTTGCAAGCATCTTTGTCGGAGTATTCCTAGACAAGGATATGTCCACAAGCATGATATTTTTTTCCCCAACAGCAACAACAAAACAGTTCAGGCAACTGAGTGGCTGTGTGGGACCTCTGCTGAAAACATAGAGTAAGAATTGTTCTTCACGAATGCCCGATGTAAGCTGTAGATACACACAAATTATTGCTGTTAACAGAAGCTAACCTGTGTACATCATTAGCCAGTTTAAGACTATGTATCTTCAGATTAATGTTGAAGTGCCTGTAATTGAAACATTGTCCAGAGAAAGACAATTAAAAAAAAAAAAAAGCTGTTCTACAAAGCAAATAGAGAAAGGAAAGCAGAAATATTTTTGCCCTGGAGCTTTCAGGTGCCATCTAATCCAAAAAATTATTCAACACTTCTGAATTTAACATAAGTATATTTACTAAGGGATGGTTCTAAACCAAATCAATACCGACTTAATCTGTGTGGCGGGGACCAAAAATAATCAAGACAAACATTTTAACTTTTTTTTTTTTTTTAAATCAACTGTATTCTCTGTGCATTCACATACTCAAACTATCAGAGATGTTACTGTAAGCCATCTATCTAGATATAAAAAGCTGAACAAAATGGATTTGGGAAGTCAAGAACTTTTCTGCAAATAAACAGGGATATGCCAAGAATATTTAGAATTGCAAATCAGGAGAATTGATGTTTAGCAAATATTCGGTCGTTAGGAAAGACCGATGCCTCCCTGTTGTACGTGTACATTTAATTTCACAAACTAGAATGACTTGAGTATGTGTTTTGCTGTAAG